TGGAGGACTCTGTCGCAACTCTTCTACGACGATAAAAAAATACCCTTTTTACAAACTTATCATGGTTTAGTAACAGCTCCTAAACTTAAAGGTCATATTACACAAGTGTTTGCCTCAGTAAAACATGGCTATGGTTTTAGAAATATGGATTATAGCTTGCAAAGCCAGTTCCCAGAAACTGTCGCTTCAAAAACAAAAAATATGTAAATATATACACTGTAAAACGATACCCAATCTTTTAAAAATCTAAAAACTGCGAAAATTATGACCAGCAAAAAGTTTAAAAAACAATATGGCTGGCATTACGCCTGGTCTAACCTTCTTCTTGTTCTTGTTGTTGGTCCTCCTCATAACTGTTGTCATGTTCTTCATACTATCAATAACAGTAAAGGTTATTAGCCATGATTAATAATATCTAATAATAGACCACGGGGTTGAGTGGATATACCATTAGGTCGTACTAATTTTAGTATCCACCTAACTATAGAGCAAATTTGACAAAAGATCATAAAGAACAAATTCTTCGACTATTTCTGCCTTGCTCAATGCCAACAAGGCCTATCATGAATGTACCATAGTTCAGTAGCCAATGAAAATGCTGGATTTGTTATAGCCCATAGTTTGGTGGATACTAAAACAGTACTCAGACCTTCCTCAGTTTCCTAACGGAAAACCAAAGGCCCTGGTTGGTGACAAACCGGAAATCCAAGAATCTGGGTCATACGATATATGCATAATGATGATTCATGGGAATCAAAGACTCATTCATCTCCAACCAGGGCGTCCAATTTTCCATTGGGAAACAGAGAATGGCCTGGGTGCGAGAATGTGTTTTGCACATGTGAGCTTTTCTGAGTACTAACCACATCACTGTTCTGATCAGGTCCATTCTCCTCTGGTACATCTTCATTGGCATCTAAATTCAAAGAACTTAATGAGCAACAATTCTATACAACACTCATTATTGTACTTCTATAATGTTATTATTGTGTACATTGTAAGTACATGGCTAGGTGTAATTTTACAAGGAATAGATCAAACATGAATGCATTTGATTAGTTTTATCACATAAATGAGAATTGCACAGAGCTGGCATATACATGTACACTGATAACAAAGTACATTTATATCCCTAACCTTCATAGTTTTCTTGGTCTTCCTCTTCTTTCTTAACCTTYTCTTCCTCCTTCTTTTTCCGAGCTTGTTCYCTCTCCCTGGCAAAGTCAGCTGCAGTTTTGCGAGATGTTTTTAGATTTCTAGGGACGCCCCTTCCTCTTCCTCTTGGTCTTTCTGCAGTTTGTGYWTCTTGAGATTGTTCAGTTCTATTTCTCTCTCTTGTTTTTTCTTCTCTTCTTTGATGTTTATCATTGCTGCAACAAGAAAAATGGTCAACACTCATGACAACTACACATACGTCCAGTACATGTATTTATAAATGTTTTTACCTTTGAATTAGCTCTTGTTTTTCTTCATATTCTTCTCTTCTAGTTGATGCATTTTGTCTTTCATCTTGTCTTCTATTTCGTTCTCTTTGTCTTTCATCCTGTCTTTCATTCCTATCTCTTCTATCTTGTCTTTGKGTCTCATCGTCATTTCTTCTACCTCTTCGATTGTTGTCTGTCTGTCTTCGTCYATCATARTCATATTGATYGTCTCTGAGGTCTCKTCTACCCCTACCTCTTCGATTGCTTTCAGATTGTCTCTCTGAA